GAAATCTATTCTTTGACACACAGGAAGCCAGTGTAAAGACTTCAGAACAGGAGTGATGTGATCCGCTTTCTTAGTGTTAGTGAGGACTCGAGCAGCGGTGTTCTGAATTGGCTGCAGCTTTCTAATATATTTTTTAGTGAGACCTGTGAAGACACCATTGCAGTAGTCGAGTCTACTGAAGATAAAAGCATGGACACGTTTTTCCAAATCCTGCTGTGACATCAGTCTTTTAATCCTAGATATGTTCTTTAGGTGATAGTAAGCTGATTTAGTAACTGTAAAACAATTACAATCTGACTGATGAAACTCAGGTCAGAGTCCATGACTACACCTAGATTTCTGGCTTTATCTGTTGTTTTGAACATTGCAGACTGAAGCTCAGCGCTAACTTTTATACGCTCTGCCTTGGCTCCAAAAACCATTACCTCAGTTTTATCTTTGTTTAATTGGAGAAAGTTCTGACACATCCAGTCATTGATTTTTTCAATGCACTTACTCAGTGTTTGAATTGGAGCATAGTCTCCTGGTGAAATGGTTACGCAAATGTGTGTGTCATCCGCATAGCTATGGTAACTTATTTAGCTGTTTTTCATTATCTGAGCCAGTGGTAGCATGTACATGTTAAAGAGAAGAGGCCCCAAGATGGAGCCTTGAGGTACCCCACATGTCATATTTGTCAACTCAGATGTGTATTTACCTATAGAAACAACGTTTTTTCTATCCTTTAAGTAGGATTCAAACCAATTTAGAACTGTTGCCGAAGGTCCCACCCAGTTTTCTAGTCGGTCTAGTAATATGTTGTGGTCAACAGTGTCTATCGCAGCGCTGAGATCTAATAATACTAACACTGAAGTTCTGCCACTGTCTATGTTTAAGTGGATGTCATTGAAGACCTTTACAAGAGCAGTGTCAGTGCTGTGGTTTGGACGAAAGCCTGACTGAAACACATCGAATCAGTTATTTAAATGCAAGAAATTACTCAACTGTTGAAAAACAACTTTTTCAATGATTTACCTAGAAATGGGAGGTATGATATGGGCCTGTAATTGTTCATTCGTGAAGAGACTTGTTTACTATATGAAGTAGATCTGAGGCCATGCAATGAAAAACATTTTTGAAAAATCCTGTTGGAATAATATCAAGGCAGCAGGATGAGGATTTCAGAAGTTGAATAATGTCCTCTAGGTTTTTATCATTAATCTGATGGAATTGTGTCATGGCGTTTGAATTGATTTTAAGTGGACACAGGGTACCTGATACAGAGGCACACAGTGCTTGTCTGAATTTCGTCAGTGAAGAAGGAGGCAAATTAATTGCAGGCCCTGGTGGGTGGAAATTCAGAGGCTAATGACACTGGGGGGTTTGTTAGTCTGTCGACGGTAGCAAATAAGGCACGTGCGTTGTTTTTGTTTTTGGTAATGATGTCAGAGAAGAAAGACTGTTGAGGCCAAGTCTCTCTTTATAGATTTCAAAATGAACCTGGAGATGTTTTTTTAAAACAATTAATAATTGAACATACTTTTTGGTTGCTATATAAGCAAACCAAATGTGTAGTGCTTTAAGATCCCTCTCAAATACACTGTAAATGACAGCTCAGGTGTTTTAAAAAAATACAAATATGTATACATTTTTAGGATAAATAAGTTACTTTCAACACAAGATTCGGAGTTTTGTGGTTTTTTCTCATGAACTAGGATGTAGATATGCACATTGTTACATATTTCAAGAATCCAATTAGTTTCAATGCAGTGTATGGCATAACAAATAAATGCATTGTCCCACCTTAAATCTCCAAAGACCTCCAATGTCATGGCTGCTCTCAAAGCAGGTGGGCTGCAGACCTTCATCCAAACAGGCTTTGATGCTGGTCAGACCAGAAACCCCTGCGCCGATCACTGCCACCTTCATGCTGGAGAGGAAGAACTGCTGACAGCAACGTGATCTCTGATTTAAGATAGATGTTGGAGCTGGAGAAGTAAGAAAGGTGGAAGTGTGTGTGCTGTTTTAAAGTGATGTGAAGTAGCTTCCTGTCGACTGTCTTCAACACCAGATTGTCTTTGAATGATTAATTGAACATAGAAATAATGCCTTTCAAAGTTGCCTTAGTCAATCAAAGATAATTGCATTTAAAAAACAATGGCTCACCCTCAATAAATCATTGATGAAGTTTGTCCCACTTGTGCCTTTTCTGCTATCACAATGTCTGCTGTGAAATAGGTCTAAGAATGTGACTAAGCAAGAACAACAGAGAAACAGGAATCAGTTACTCTATAAGCATTTCACATATTAGTTTGATACAAATCATTATTTAAGGTGAGAAAATCTGAATTATGTAATTGCATACTATAAGCCTTTGTGCTTCTTCTACTATCAACAAAAGAACACAAAACACACCCACACAATAGTTGTCAAAATGTCAATGAAAGAGAACTTTGCAAACCAGGGAATGACTCAAGTCATAATACAACAACAAAAAGACTCAGAATGCCAACATTTCTTGAACATGCAAAAAGATTCAATGTCTTTTATGGAAACAGAAGTAACTTGTCTGACACAGAACCTGCCATTGAGTGGTCCCTGTTTAATAAGTACCAAGACAATGCAAAACTGGCTAAACAGAATACAAAGTGCAACCTGAAGTAGTCATTTGCAGCTCTGAAGCACTATGTGTGTGTGACACATCCATTTTATCATGCAAACCTGCATACTGTACTACAGCTAAACATGACGGGAATAAGATCTAGGGCCACCTGAGATCTCCTCCGTTACAACTTACAAGTACCTTTTGTGACTGGTGTTGAACTTTTCCTGTCGGCTCCCAGAAACTAACTTCAAAATAAGACAGAGAGGTCTGATTAAAGAAACACATAAAAGCCTGAAGATGGTGCTGCAGCAGGTAAACAACACTCTCCAGGCTTATCCTCTCCCTGATTCCCTACAGAGGTATTTTATCAAAATAACCAACCTATACATGGTGTACACGATTCATTTCAGAATTAAATGACAGACAATAAGTAAACCAACAACATAATGTGGTCACTGCTAAATCTGCTCTGTGTATCATGCTGAGCTCAGTCCGACAAACACACATACATATAATTATAGTTTTTAATAAGCCTCAATTTAGGTTTCTCTATGCTATCTGATGGTAGATTGCAGTTTTCTCTGACCTTTGAAACAGATACACCTATCAGAAGAGTACCAACTACTATTACAATTGTGTAGCACCATATTATTACATAATACTACAATCATACACAACATTAAAAGAGGGAGGCTGTCTCTTTTTCTGCAAGCAAACACCAAATAAAAAAAACTTTAAATGTCTTTAAATTCCCTGATCCATTTACTTTTTTTTCTTTCAATGAATCTTAGAATATTTAGGATATTATTAATATGATCAATGTCTGTATTATACATCATATTGCAACATGGGTTATATCCGTTACACAGTGTACCCAAATATGATCATTTTAGTCTGGTGTAAGAGTGAACCAGGAGTCCTTCAGAAACATCTTGCACCTGTCCAGAAACTGGGCGGCACCCGACAACACTGGAGTTGTCTCAGTTTTAGACAGAACAAAAGCCATTGCAACTGTTCCTCCAAGTACAAGCGCCCAGGGAGAAATAGCAGACGGCCTGCTCTCCGGTACCGCTCTGGTTCTGAAGGGTTGAGCCAATCGCTCCCACTGAGTGAGGATCGCCTGACGGGCCCCGGCCCACTGTCCAGGCCCCGTGAGACGATACTGATATGGAGTGCAGGGACCAAAGAAGATCCTCACCCAGAGCACAGGATCTGTCACCAGTAGTGTCAGGAGGTTTGGTCGAACACCCACCTGTGATTGGAAGTATATCATGAGGTTTGTGTCTTACAGGTGCAATAAAAATGATAACTCAATTTTATATCGAGACAAACTGAACCAACCTCCTTTGCCATGAAATCCAGGTAAGGGATGTATTCTACCTGGAGAGCTGCCGTTCGTGGGCAAGGATAGCTGAGAAAGCAAGTAAATTTGTTCAAATTTCAAAAATAATTGAATTTATACGTGCAGGAAGAACATCTGCCTGTTCTTTTGAATGAGCTTCATTGTGAAGATGATGTCTACCTTTTCATGTTCCTCTTCCTCTCAGACTCTATGACTTCCAGCATTTTCTCCTTAGGTGGAAGACAGCTCGAACCTTGAAGATGAAACACAACAGCTGACACCTTGCACTTTTCAGTCCTGAGTGGGTGTGTTTACATTTAAAGCTCATAATAATTTACCGGTAAAGACCTTGACAGCCCATCGCGCCTGCATTTCCACAATTGGCGTGATTGGTCCTTTGGTCTGGAAAAGACCCATGACGGCCAGTGTGGGTCGTATCAGAGAAGGAGGAAACAGGGTCCTGAAATTACCAAAGTATATATTAATATATGGCAGTACTTACAAAATATATTTTAATATATTTGTATATACAATAACTCATAGGATGCATATTTTTTAACTAAAATGTTATTTTAAAACAGCACAATTTAAGCACAATTCAATCTTATGCTCTGTAAAAATGTTTCTACAGTATATTTTTATTTATTGAAGTATAATTAGGATCTTTTTTTTGTTTTGTTAAAAATGCTATCTATCTTCTCATGTGAAAGGTAACCTTACAACATTTACAACCCCTTAAGTTAAGTTTTAGTGTGGATTTTCAACTAGTAAAACTTTTTAAAAAAACAAATCACACATAGCTATACAAACTCTACGGACAACATACTCACTTGTACAATATCAGTTCTCGTTGAGGCTCGTGAGTTAAAATTGAAGGCAGGAATGGAAATGTTCCATTATAGCCTGTACAGAAAACCACAGCATCAATGTTCTCCTCCACGCTGCCATCTTCAAATTCCACTCCTGAGTCTTTGAATCCTTTTAGATTGGTTTTCATTACAAGCGCTCCCTGAAGGATTCGACCAGGGAGGTCATCATTGATCAGAGGCCTTCTGTCCATAAGTCTGGGAAATAAATGAAATGAAAGGAATCAACCACCTATCTTGTTACAAAGATTGTATCCTATTCAAAATGACACCATTGTATTAGACAGAGTAACAGTCTGCACAGCTGACAGCATTTTCACACTGGAATCATGTGGCACCTGTGTTTGGGCTTCAGACCATACAGCCTGTGGTCATATTTGTAGTTCAGTGCTCTCTCTGCTGCCCAGTTGACCAAAGTATTAGGCAGAAGAAGTGTGAGCATGTTGTTGAGTCTGGTGATAGCGGTCATGTCCAGAGGAAGACCATTACTGGACATCCTGCCAATCACCCAGGCCCCCTGGCGTGTGCTGAGAAATGTCTGTCAGAGAGATTTAAAAAGATAGATGTGAATTCATGGGTTACATATTTTGAAGTAACAATGTGCAGTGCAATCTTATAGCAGTTAAGTGCACATTGTTTTCATCTATCCCCTGCCAAACTAACTTAAAGCTTTTCCTTTTTTCCCCATCTTACCTTCTTTGCAGATCTACTGATCTCCACTGCAATATCTCCTCCAGAATTGCCAATGCCAACCACCACCACCCTCTTTCCTCTGCAGGCATCTGCATCTTTGTATTCCCAGCTGTGAAAGCACCTGCCAGAAAACGTCTCATATCCTGGAGTAGATACAGATGGTGCAAAAGGAAAACAGTTACAGTATATGCAAGAATGAAAAAAAATAAAAATGTTGCTCTTTCATCAAATTCTGTAAAATGTTTGAATTTGACAGACCTGGAAAACCTGACAGGGGTAAGGACGGATGAGTGTAGTGGCCCGAACACACCAGAACTGCATCAAAGACGCTTCTCTCCTCCTCGCCATCCTTGTTAATTGTCATTATGTCCCACTGACCTGACACAGAGAAATCCGGCCTCTGGGCAACACTCTTCACTGTGGTCTGTATCATGCATGACCACATTCAGAAAAAAAAGAAAGAAAGAATTGATAACTTTAACTTCACATAGTATGTTGTTTAAACTTGTGAAAAGATGATGAACTCCTGGAGGATGACCTGGAAATGAATGTATCTGAGCAGGTCAAAGTGGTCAGCGTAGAGCCTGTAGTACTGCAGCAGCTGGGAGTTGTGCATGTAGTTTGGATAGTCAGCAGGCATGGGAAAATCACTGTAACACATCATCTCTTTGGAGGTGTTCACCACCAAGGAGCGATAGATGCTGGATCGCTCTGGCTCAGGTGACTCCTGTTGGCACAAACAAAATTTTGATAAGGACAATTTACTGAGGTTTGCAATCATTCTTTTGACACAATCTATTTTCAAACTGAATATTATTTTATTCCGGATTAGGTTGGGAGCTCTTAGGCCATACAGTATCATAAAACCAATCTTTAACTGGCCACTACCTTCATGTATGGGCTACTCAAGGTGCCCCCCACTCACCTTAAATTTCCACAAGCCGCCGATGTCATCACTGCTCTCAAAGCAAACAGGCTCCAAGCCCTCCTCAACGCAGATCTTGATGCAAGCCAGACCAGAGCTGCCGGCTCCCACCACTGCCACACGTCGCACCATGGCTGAGAACTGAGAAAACAAGACGAAAAGTCTAAACAGCTATGATCACCTTTCCAGCATACGTCATCATTTACTTATTCATATTCAAGAGAATATCTGTTAATATATCCACTCCTCTTAAATAAACTTAGCTTTTTGCTAAGAGCATTTTACTTCAGATTAACTCAAAAATAACATGCAGAACCAAGTGTTGGACTACTTCAGTAGACTAAATAGACAATTAAATAAAATGATAAAACAAAGGATTATGATTATTTCAGCAAAGCATGCCATTTTCTGTACCACTTATTCAAAAACAGCAATGTCAAATATCTACTTACATTTAGTAAGCTTAGGTCTACTTGGAGGAGTATTGCTCAGCTCAGCATGTGTAATGTGAACATCAAGAAATGTAAATGTTTGCATTGTTGATGTCTGAAAAACTGCTCTCACCTTCCACAAGTCCCGGTCAGCTGCGACTAAAATGCCAAACAGCCTCTACATTCACATGAACTGCATGTTTCTTATCTACAGAAGGCTATTGCAGGCGATGAACTTTGAACATGTCACCCTGCAAGCCAGTATTTCTGTTTCCACCTCAGCGGGACGGCTCTTCGTCCGAAAATACGTTTTTTCTCTGGCACCATAAATAATATTCCAGAGGGAATTAAAAGAGAAAGGAAGCTAAAGTTAACTTTTTACATGCCAATCAAACCACATAGTATATACTCCATGATCCTCTGAAATTCAGAGGATCATGAATGAGCGTTTCAACATTTTGAGTATTCAGAATAAACTTCAAGCTCTTATTATACATCCATGGTTGAAAAACTCGGATTGTAAACTCGAGTAAACGCTGGAAGCGGAAGCGGTGTCTTTTCTTCTCCAGGTAGCGCGAGCGATTCTGGCAACAACAAAAAAACACACTGACGAAATACACAATATAAATGATGTAGTTGTAAATGCAGTATACATAATCTTATAGCATCCTATGCTAGTATGCTTGCTTCACAACAACACATTTGACTTTCCTCCCGTTTCAACTGTAGTTTCAATGTCCCCGCCCCCCACCACATGATCAACAACACACACACAGAGGGCTCGATTAAGTCTTTATTAATGGGTCTACTCAAAGAGTGAGATGTCTTTATATGTGTTTAACATTCCCTTACATTCTCTGTGATTTAAAAGCTTAAGACACACATATATCTGGTTAATGTAGTTATGGTTGACATTTTGCAAGCCAGCAAATGTTAACAGACCTGCTTGTGTTTATACGCAAACATGAAAATACTTTTACATCCACTACCAACTTTGAATTCCATTCTTTTACACTTTAACTCAGTATTACTTTTTCAATACACTAAGAGTTTGTTATAGGATATTTCTGACAGTAATCATTAGCAGTGAAAGGTTGTGTGGATCTACAATTGAAAACCAGGATTTTGTCACATTACCATACTTTTTGGATTGAAAATGTGCATATACAGTGGACTTTCTTAAGAAAAAAGGATATGGCATTTAAATAAACTAAACATATAGAAGTAGTACTAGCTTTAGCTTTAAAAGCAGCTTAAACTGTGGTATTCCCATAATCACAACCCAAGCAGGAGTTAATTGAACGAGATTACTTAAGGAAACAAGTAAAGTATTTGGTCTGCATATTGGAAAATGTTTTATTTAACATGTTTAGGCTGTTTGTGGTCGCAGGTTGGCCAGCAGAGTGGGGATGGTGGTCGGGTTGCGCACATGGATGTAGTAAACGGCCGCTCCTCCAGCCATGAGGGTCAGGCTCAGCTTGAACAGGCTGCCAGCAACAGAGGCCTCTTTTGTCTCCATCTGTAAGGGATAGGACGGAAAGTTACATTGGATGTATACAAACATTATTTCATGTTTAAGACCACCAAAATATATTTTAATCCCCTATTGCATCTATAGAGTATTACGCTCCCAGAGTCTTCGATTGGTTCAAAGAGTCCGCAAAACTAAATTCGGAGTCAGAGCGTTCAACTACCAAGCTCCTTTTCCCGGGAACCAACTTCATGTTTTTTTTAGGGAGGCAGACAGTGTTGAAGACCTTTCTTTTTAATAAAGCCTGTAGTTAGAGCTGGTTTAAGATAAGCCTATGTGTGTCCTCCTGACTCCTACAATTCTTGGTATTTTTTCTATTATCTATTTAATTTGTATCTTGTCTTTTAATTAGTTTCTTGTAATTGTTTTAATCTTTTAACACTGTCATCTATGTTTGTTAATCTGTAAAGCCCACTGAGATAAACGTGTTTTGTGATATTGGGCTATATAAATAAACCTTGATTTGATGATTTGATTTGATGTTCAGGTAAGTTGGAAAAGACACAGGTTCATAATGCATTTATTACATTTCATAAGAGTCTTATGAAGAAACCGTGTTTATTTCATACCTGTCTGGTTTTCAGGGGCTGGTACACGCGGTTCAACGTGGTTGAGATTGCTTTGCGGGCTCCGTCCCATTTCCCTGGTCCCCTCAAGCGGTACTGGTAGGCGGTGACAGGTCCCCACAGAACCATCTTGAACATTTGGTAGTCTGTGAAGAAGAGCCAGAGCAGACTGGGCCGCACCCCAATCTCTCCTGCTAAGTCATCCATGTAGGTAACAAAGTCCACGTGCAGGGGTGTCAACCTTGACACAATGTAGCTGTGGAGAGGATGGATCGGAAATGAATATAGGAATTTGTTGCACTCAAACCTTTGTTTACTATTTATTAACAAATCTAATTACAAATAATTTATCACTTGTATATAGACTCTGGCACTACTTCTATTCTATTTTATTGCACTATGAGCCTGTGACCTAAGATTTTCATCATCATAACCAGGGGCGGCCATTTGGAATACCGAGTTTTCCCGGTGAGCCGGTACCAAAGTGGGCCGGTCGGACAATTCACTAGCACCGCCCCCCCTCCCCGTTGACAATTGACTAGTGGTACCGAGTTGGGCCGGTCGAGTTCCCCGGGCTGATTTTAAGTCCCAATCCGCCCCTGGACATATCTGCACTGTAGTTATGTACGAATGACAATAAAAGCCTTGAAACTTGAATCTAATTTGAAGAAACTTAAGATATTATCAAATTAATTGACAATGTTGTCTGCAATAAATAACCGAGCAGAGGAATATTAGTTTTACTTTTTCTCGATGTCCTTGGTGTCCTTGTCCACAGACTTTATCATGGCCTGGTTTGAGGGCAGCTTGACCTGTCCTGAAATGCAAAAGACAGAAGACAGACAAAGGTATATGGTCCGTTTGAAAAGTATCTAGAAAAGTGGCAGATGATAAACTGGTAAAGCCTCACCATTGAAAACTCGTGAGACCCAGCGGGCCTGCATTTCAGCCTGTGTCATGATCGCTGCAAAGGCATGGATGAAACCCACCACAGCCAGAGTGGGGTGCTCCAGGTTTGGAGGAAAAACGTGTTTGTACAGTCCCAGACGATGCCCAGACATGTACTTAGAACTACTTGGCAAGTATGGAAAATCATAGTTGTAACCTGTTGCAAACACGATCGTATCCACCTATAAAGAGGAAGAGATAAGTAAGAGATAGCCTTGAATTTTGCTTGAAATAAAGATAGAATATATCCTGGGAAACTAAGTTCTTTTACATTTTCCACAGTGCTGCCATCCTCAAACACCACGGACGAGCCAGAGATCTTCTTCACATTTGTTTTGATGATGACAGACCCAGACAGAATCTTTAGAGGCAGATCATCGTTGACCACCGGGATCTGATTGAAGAATCTGAGGAGGCAGCAGGAAAACAAGGGAAATAAACTACTTACATCTTTTACTTCAGCAAAAGTAATAAAATATAATGTATAAATACTCTCCTAAAACTAATAGTCACACATTCAACATTTTACTTAATTAACTTTTCAAAAGTATTGGCATCAAAATACACTTCTATAACAACAAGTTAAACTGACTCTGCTCTTTTTCAGAGAAAAATACATTATATCATTTTATTATATCTATTGATGTTTTAATGTGACTTTAAAGCTGCTTCTGGTAAAGGTGGAGCTCCTTTTTTAGCTTGTGAATATAAGGGATGCATAACGTTTATCTTAGCCTATCATAGTACATAATACAATTTTTGTGAATCACATTTTTTATTAACAATCCGAGTCTTCAAACTACTAAAGTTATCAGATATATGAAGTGCAATATTTGACTTGTTATGAATTATTAAGGAGTAGCAGTATGTGGAAATATTCAATCAGAGTAGCTGTACCTCAAAATTGTTCCAAGTGAAAGTGCAGTACTTGGGTGAATGGGCATATTTACTGTCCATTGTATAAAGGGAATAACTAACCAGCTTTCTTCACTATATAAGATGAAATGCTTTAATGTGACTTTATTTCCTGCTCAGAATGTGAGGAAGTGGTCGAATATGCAGTTATAATTGTTGTCACCCTGGCTGCACCTACCTGTGTTTGGGTTTGAGGGCATACATGGTGTGGTCATACATGGCGTTGAGTTTTGTCTCACACAGCCAGTTAAGGATTCTGATAGGCAGCAGCTGGGAGAGGATGTGGACAAAGCGTGTGAGGTACTTTATGTCCACTGGCAGGCCGTTGTCAGAAACCTGACGGATGATCCAGGCTCCACTACGAGTGCTCAGATACACCTGCACCACAAAGGCAAAAGTCAGACACACAAATGATCATGAAGAAAGAGGACAAGAGCATACAGAAAATACTTCCCCACCTGCTCTGCCACTCTGCTGCTCTCCACAGCGATGTCACTTCCTGAGTTACCTATGCCGATGACCACCACTTTTTTCCCAACCATGTCTTCAGGCCCCTTGTAGTCCCAGCTGTGGAAGTATTTTCCTTCAAATGTCTCAATTCCTGAAACACAGCAGAGTGATGTCATTATTACTGTGTTTCTCACGTTATAAAATACAATACAGCTTTATTTGTAAAGCACTTTAAAACCTCCTGACCAAAGTGCGGTACAGAGAAATAAATAAAATACAAAAAGTCCCACAGCTCAGCTCACAAACAATAAAATAGGTTTAAAAGAAAAAGGTAGAAACAAAAATAAACAAGAATACAAATAATAACACAGCCAAATAGTAAAAATAATAGACCAATTAAAAGCAATAACAACAACAATCTCCAAAGTGTCCTACGCTAAGGAAAAGAGGTGGGTTTTAAAAGGCGATATAAAAACAGGCAGTTTAATGGCTTGTCTCATTTGCAGGGGTAGAGATTATTTAACAATGTTGGGGCCGCAGCGAAAGCACGGTCCCCTCTCAGCTTTCAGTTTGTTCTGAGAAACATTCAGGAGCGGTTGATCAGCTGACCTGAGGAGGTGCATAGGGATGTAGCAATTTAGAAAGGTACACTGTAAGAAACGTACCGTGAAATTCACAGTATATAACTGGCACCAATTGACAAGTACTGTTAAATGTATAACAGTAAGTAACTTGTAAATTGCTGCCAGTTAAATACTGTAAAATGTATAACAGTGAGCTTGTCAATTGCTCCCAGTTAGTAAAAACATTTTTTTACAGTGACAGTGTAAAACTAGAGAATGCAATTCCTGAAGAAATTGCTAGTGGGAATGCTTTATGCTGAAAAGCTGACGCTAAACTATAGGTTACTTACGTAACCCCAGTTCTCAGAGTAACATGAAGTGAGATGTCTCACTATGGGATGCGCCTCAACGCGTATGCAAACAGAAGCATCAATCTCATTACGCCAATCCTGATTGGCTGGTGATCTTGACGTCTACATCAGGGAATCCACCCACCCTATAAGTAGCTTGCGCTACGACGCAGCGTCATTCAAAACTGCTATGCTGAAATATAATGTGTAAGAAGAAAGTGAAGAATTTAGATTGAAATGATACATGAACACTGGGGGCTTGAATGTGTGATGAGTAGGGATGGGTATCGTTAGGATTCTATCGATACCGATACCGATAACGGTAAAGCTTATCGGTATCGGTATTTTTCGATACTCTTATCGATACTTTTCAATAATTTGGTGCTCAAAATTATAGACATGAATACAAGATGTGAAGATTAAACAGTAATTTTATTGTAATTTTCTTGCAGAAATAACTGTATAACTTATACATTAGCTTCTCAGAAGCAGACAAAAATAAATGAAATAACTTAAAGGGGCCTGGCTCGCCCTATCATGCTTTTTGGGGTTTTCCCTCAGACAGAGGATGACATTTTTTTTTAACATTTGTAAATCAGTTACATCTTCATCCAGACATTTCAAACTGACAACCTAGCTCGACAAGAGATCCTTAAAACATTGTCCTACAGTGACATCATGCAAAACTGTGATAGAGAAATTGGTAAAAATGAAAGGCCAAATTATTATAGGTGTAGGAGCTCACATTAATACACTGTCAATGTTAATAAACTAAAAAACGACAAGGCGATGTGCCTGCAAGACTTCACTCAGGTACACAAAACATATTATCGTGCGCAGCAGCTAACCTGCCTGCGAGCCTTCGCTCAGGTCACATTTACACACGGCNCGACACCTATAATAATTTGTGCGTAGCAGGAGCCATATGCTCTCGTCGTTTCACTTAAAAGAGGGTGCCGGCTCGTTCGCGACCGACACATCACTACCCGCTAGCACTATTAGCACTAGCAGTATCGCTAGCAGCCACATTGTTTAGGCTGTCAAATACGCTGCACCGTTTTAGATTCAATGAGTGTCTCGTTTGCAAATGCTTCATTAAGTTGCTTGTGTTACCCCCAGTAATTGAGTACATAGATTGCACTTTGCACTATTGCCACTACATTTTTTAAAGTGCACCCAGACCTTTGATCGCTTCGCTCTGTCCGCCATGCCTGGGGGAGTCTCACAACAATAATAAGAGCGCTGTTGAGAGAGATGACGAGTGGCATTTACAGTGGCCAATCAGAGGGGTCTCAAACCGGATACATCACACGGGATGAGGGTTCCCAACCAACCAGAATGGTTTAAAGTTAAACTAAGGAAGTAGACGTAACACATATACCGATAGCAGCACCGTTTGTCCAGCGGCTTAACGGTATACCGATACCGTTCAATCAGGTACCGGTATTGACTTAGTACCGGTTCTCGATACCCATAGTGATGAGAGAAGAAAAGAAAGTAAAAAGGCTTGGAAAAGCAGCAAAATATTTGAACTGCAAACTTTTTAACTAACTTGATGGCGAATTATCTGTCGCCATGCCAACGGCATTTGATGACATCCCATAATACGCTTAGATACGTTGATGGCTGCATCGTTACCAAACCTGTGAAGTTTTGGGCCGTTTGGAGCATTTTCACTGAAGTTATGAGAAAACCGTGTTTCATGGTGAGCATTGTGTTGCCATGGCAACGGCATTTGAAGAAATCTCAAAACTGTCCCGTAAATGTCTTCACGGCTGGACTGTTAGCACACGTGAAGTTTGAACACTTTTTGAACATTTTCATAGGAGTTAATGTATAGCGACATCGTCTTTTATGGCGAGGGATAGTTTCCATGGAAACGGCATATGACACCCCATAATTGACATAGAGCTGTTGAGGGCAGGACCATTAACCATTATCTGAAGTCTGCTGCTCTGAGCATGTCAGTTGGAGTTATGACATCATCGTGTTCCATGACACAGGTGTTTATATTTGAGCTAACGAGGTGTCCAGAGATCAAAGCTTTCCATTGTTCTGAATGAGAGATAAACCTACATGTGAACGTTATGTTGAAGAACCGTAACAGATATCGGTGAAATTTCAAAGCGCGAAGCATCTCAAGGACCTTGAGTATCTGAAGTGTGCTTTTTGTATACTTTCGGGTCAATGATGTGGCCTTTTTGGCAGATTAACTAAAGGTGTGCGGCTGCTGCTGTGAGGAAATATCAGCCTGAAATTACAATAGGGTTTAATGGAGGCATGTTGAAAGTTGTTGTCACTTCATGCCCTCAAGAGGCATTTTGTTTAATTATTTTGCTTAATTATTTGTCATTTTTCAAGCTACGAGATGTTATCCTATACGTTTGTCATGAAAAATTATGTCTCAGGAATGTAGGGTTTGGGAATTATGGCAATTTAAAAAAATATATATGAAGGCAAATTTCAAGATTTCATATCACGCACTCTAGTTAATGTTAAAATCTGAAGAAGGCCTCTGTACCAATGTCTGAACAATGTTTAATATCTCTAAAAGTAAGAATCAGATTTAAAAGTTGTGTTACACGAATAATGTCAGAAAGATGTGTAACATTTTAAAGTTGGAATGAGGTTTCTGAGTGTAAGTATGAAGGAACAGTTAGAAGTTGAAGTCGCATGAAGTTTGTTCAAGTCTGAAGATTTTCTCCATTGACTTCAATGGTTAAAAATGTGATGAATTATGGGATGTATCTCTGGAATTATGAAAGTTATGAATTAAAAATGTAATAGCACTCGATTCCCGACCGAGCTGAACGTTTTGGTGTTTGAAGAGAGTTTCTGCGATGTTCAATGCGGGAGGAGAAGACCGGCAAAATAACGGGCAGAATAAAATTAAAGAATTTCGTGGGTAGAAGAACAGATGTGAAACACAGTAACTTCCAAGTACTGTATTTGTGTTTACGGTAATAGTGTTTTAACTGTAAAATGTATTTTCTTGTGCTAAATGGGTGAGCATACCATGGCTACCACAAATTGAGGCCCAATCCCAAACCACGCCCTACACCCTACCCCTACACCCTACCCCTACACACTCCCCCTCCGTGACGGAGTGAACTCCATGGAGTGACACATGAGGCTCCCTCCTGTCAGATGGAGGGAGTAAATACAGCGGCAAGCTTTGGGACAAACTCCCCTCTCTCCGGCAGAAACAGGAAATGCCGTAACTGTATGTAACAACGGTTTCAAATCAGNCATTGCTGGTTAATGTGATTATCTACAGTACATTGTTGGTTACTGTGAATATCTACAGTACATTATTGGTTACTGTGATTATCCTCCCCTCTCTCCGGCAGAAACAGGAAATGCCGTAACTGTATGTAACAACGGTTTCAAATCAGCATCTCTTTGACAAAAAATGTAAATTAATAACTAGGCGAGCTTTTTGAGACCTCTCCCAACTGCAATCGGCTATTCTCGTCTACTTTCGAGGCGAGCCGCAGCTCATCTCAAACAAGCCTATTTTTTCTGTTGACCGTTTTTGTCCCTCTAGTTTGTCGTTCGTTTTTGTTTATTAAATGTTGTCAGACTATATTACTTCGGTGTGGACTTTCTCTTTGAAAACGCGTCACAGCCTATAGCCAAGCTTAGCCTCTTGGCGACTCTAACTGGACTGGGAATTGAGCCGCCACAATAATAATAAAAATGATGATTATTACCTTACTTTTGTCTATTTTTATTCCTCAGTGTTGCGTTTTTAAGGTGTAATACCAAGACACATTCTTTGTATAAATCAGCACCACATTTGTAGTTCTTCCGGTTTGCAAAGACATAGGGTCTTAAAAATATATATCTACTTAGTATATCAAATATCTAGTATAGCCAAACTAGTAATTACACTGCATCAATATTATGTATATTAAGAAAAAGATGTTGGTTTATTTAAGATATTTTAGATATTTTAGCTATTCTAGAAATGGGGTTTTTTGGTTGGTTCTTTCTTTTTTGGTTACTTTGATCTTCTACAGTACATTGTTGGTTACTGTGATCTTCTACAGGACATTGTTGGTTACTGGGATTATCTACAGTACATTGTTGGTTACTGTGATCTTCTACAGTACATTGTTGGCTACTGTGATCTTCTACAGTATTTTTGGTTACTGTGATTATCTACAGTACATTGCTGGTTAATGTGATTATCTACAGTACATTGTTGGTTACTGTGAATATCTACAGTACATTGTTGGTTAATGTGATTATCTACAGTACATTGTTGGTTACTGTGAATATCTACAGTACATTGTTGGTTACTGTGATTATCTACAGTACATTGTTGGTTACTGTGATCTTCTATAGTATATTGTAGGTTACTGTGATCTTCTACAGTACATTGTTGGTTACTGTGAATATCTACAGTACATTGTTGGTTACTGTGATTATCTACAGTACATTGTTGGTTACTGTGATTTTCTACAGTTGGGACGTTACTACTGATATTTTTAAAGTAACTCCAGAGGTACTGTAATTTTTGGTTGGAAACACGGTATTATAAGCTAAAATAGTATACATTAATTTACTGTGCACAAACACTGTAAATAACTGTGGATTTCACAGCCATTTTTTACAGTTTAGGGCAGGGCGAGGCCATTGAGGCATTTAAAAGTGGAATGTTTCAACACATATTGGTATCTTGTGCCAAAAGCTTTAAGTGAAAAATAAAATGATACACTAAGCCTGGTCTGAGGTGCATTAAAAAAAAATCTCTTTACCTGGGAACTCTTTCAAAGGCAGATTAGGGTAGGAGTAGTGACCCGAACAGCAGATAACTGCATCAAAGACATGCCTCTCCTCCTTCCCATCTTTGTTTTCTGTCACCACTTCCCATTGACCAGTGCGAGAAAAGTCTGGTGTTTGATTGACATTCTTCACCAAGGTCTAGAAAATTAAATAAACACAGTAGATTGGTTTGAAGTTATAGTTTTAAATTGCACCGGAAATATTTAACCACATACTAAATTGGATCTTGTTACCTGGAAGCGGATGTGTTTCAGCAGTTTAAAATGTTCTGCATACGTCCTAAAGTAATTCTGGATTTTTGAGTGGTGCATGTAGTTGGGGTAATCAGCTTGGACGGGGAAGTCGCTGAAGCTCATCATCTCCTTGGAGATGTTGATGGTGAGGGAACGGTAGATGCTGGCCCTGTTTGGCTCCGACACTTCCTGCAGAGAAGAGGTTTTTAATGACAGGAAACGGGAGGAAACTAAAACGCTAGTAAGATTGTGGACAAACTTTACTTAACTTAAGTGCTGACTTGCCTTGAACCTCCAAAGTCCACCCATGTCATCGCTGCTTTCAAAACAGGTCGGCATCATGCCCTCCTCCAGACAGGCCTTCATGCTGGTCAGACCACAGGGGCCTGCCCCGATCACTGCTACTCTGTGGACCATGATGCAGCTGCACAAAGGAGAGCAAAAAGACACATATATATTTCAATTCAGAACCTCTTCTACACCGCACCCCCAATACCAGGGGAAAAAACGCGTCATCTGCAGGAAACAGCGTCTGAAGGCATCTTCATATTCAATAAACTATGAATGTTTTATATTCATGTCACGGGAAGAAACTGACCTTCTTTTTTTTTAAACCCACAAAATGCTAACGGCGTGTTGCACAGAAACTCACTCATAACACCCTTATTATTTATCGTAGTTATTTCTGATAATCCATAAGCAATAAACCTGCTTTTCCGTTTCCAGATGTCAGAGCGAGAGATAGGTTCACTCTGATGCAAACCTGCATGCGCAAAGCCCCCACCTTCTTTTTTTTACCATGTGTGTGTATGGGGAAATTCCCCTTCGATTCTATTGGCTCTAACGGTCAAAAAGAGATTTCAATCACCAAAATCGACCAATGGGTTCCAGAGAAACGGTAAAAACGCCCATTTCCACCCAAATCACATCAGAGGTGGAGTTTTTTTTGCTAAACCTCTCTAAAAAGGTCAAATGTCACTTGTTTTGCATCACTCTTGATACAGGGTACTTATATGTTGTACTTTGGATTCCTAAAGCTTTTAGTCTACCTTACCATCATCCGAGGGTAGTTTTCACTATAAGTAAAAAATAATTTTTGGACGGACACTATAATTTACAGTTTTTTACCATGTTCAATCTGAATTTTCTTTAAAATAAAAAAAATCTATATTGATTCTGACTTTTCTACATCCAACTCACAGGTTTATCATTACTTTGAGAAAAAAGATTATTAATTTAACAGTTTTGGAAGGGAAGATATGGTCATTTGTTCTGGGAATGTCATTTTCGAGCCTGAGACCTGAAAAACAGGCTCAGGGCTTAACAGGTCATCTTTCCAAACGTGCAGCATTCAGTCCCACCCATTTGAATCCATGAGAAAGTTAAGCAGATACCAATAATTATAAACCAGATTAGTGACCCTATTTTCTTGCTCTACCACAGGACATCTAAAGGTGTGCTGCAACGTCAAACTTGACTTTGTTTCAGCAAGTTCGAGTGAACAAGCCAAAATATAAAAAAGAAGGCAGATCAGATACTGCATCAGCTTTGCACTAGGTCCCACTCCATCGTGCATTAGCTTAATGTTTGGAAAATATCTTTTTATTTTCAAGTCATTATTACTGATCTGTTATGCATTGATTTAATCAAACCCAGGTTGTGTCATTACAATTTCCCAGTTGCTAGAAATAGAAATAACTGCAGATCTCACACTTCTTTGAAAGCACTAAACATTTTTGAATTGAAATGAGTTGTGCATTCTGTGCTATGAAAATTAGATTTGTGTGAGTGCCAAAAAAACAAGTCGGAATGCAGTTTGATCATTTCCTCATGAATAAGCCACATTACAAATCTCACTGAAATATAAGCATGTTTTTTCACACATGCAACACAAAATACTATGATCCTTTAGTAAAATATAGCAGAACTAGAGTGTGGCAGGTCTCTTTCTTACCTCAATCCTTACGCGTTGATTTCTTCTTTGGTATCTTCTGAGCACGTTCTTTTATAGTGAGGCGGTCTTTAATCCAGCCCACTTCTGAGTAAAATTGTTACGTAAATCCAGGTTGAAAAATTCATTTTGTGTACTGAGTAGTTTATTGAATTTATTGAGTGCTGATGTAACTGAGTAACAACAATTGTCTGCCTGTCTGTCCATCCGTCAGTCATGAGTCATGAAACAGTTTCAGATTTGATCCCCATTGTTTTTATTAAAAATCATTACAATCAAATCATTCAAGTACAACCCCTCAGGGATTACTCAGCAGCACATTAAAACCCACCAAACATAACAGTGTAATCACGTGACCATGCTGGCATAATTATATACATTAAGATTAAGGTCTATACAGGAAACACACAATATAATTTATAGCAGGCAAAACGCAGTGCAGTGAATTAAACTGTAGCTGACTTCATGTTTGATTATTTGCAAAAACTCATGTGACATTTGTTGATTCTACAAGAAGCTGAACAAACAGGTTGTTGTCAAAATAAATAGGTTCGATGTGGAATGTTCCAAATCTATTCAGTAATCAATGTGATGAACATATTTTTCTTAGAGTACTGCATCACCTCGATATCAACATGTAAAACCCACAAATAAAATCATAAATCATTTGGTCACTAAGTCCACCATCCAGCCTATTATATTTGTTAAAGAAGGCTAAAGAAATAAAAAGAAAGCGCTACCTCCTCGCACGCATCACGTTCTCCTCCACACTGGGAAGATCATTGGTCAATTATTGCAGGAAGAAGGAGACGCATGTAAGAGGAAGGTCTGGCTCACCTGCATACCAGCTCAAATTATATTCGTAAAAATGATTCAACAACAGTTCATACATGACACATTTACAAATAAATCATAATAAAAAATAGTCCTAACCCATGGAAAATGGCAACAGACCAAAAAAACAGCAGTTTGACGTTAAATGATTTGCTGACTTCTGACACCAACACAACAGCGAAGGTCAGGAGGAGACTGATAAGCAAAATATTGCTTGAAAGTTAAACAAAATCTGCCTAATAAAGATATATTTTCTTTCAGATCTGGTAAAGACAGCTGGCAAGTAAGGGGACAAATCAGTTAATAGGTTTCTGTGAACAACATGACCACTGGCGTCATTTAAAGTTCATATTGAGTTCATTCAATCTGCTTTCAGTGAACCATAGTGTTCATATCATTTAATTATCCAACATGCTGTTCTTTTTAACAGCACGTACTAAAGAGCAGACAGGGACAGGGTCAACACATCAATGTAAGGGTTTACTCCAAAACATGTAAGGAGATGCTGACCAATGGGGTCACAGTGATTTTCAAAAAACTTAGATATGACAGTGTGTTGCAGATAGGGCTGAATGATTAATCGATTTTAAATCGAATTCGCGATTTGGAAATCGCAAAGCCTGCGATTTTTTTTAAACATTTTTTGTTCTTGTGTGTCAGTCATCCACACCAATCAGAAGTGCTGTGCTCCACATGTACCAGCCGTTGTTAACCAATCAGAAGTGGCCCATGAAAGAAGGTGACAGACAGATTGATCCAATCACCTGCAAAGTATTTTTGAAAGTGCCTGCCTTTTCCAAATGGCTTCCAATGGAGCTTTCCTAGATGGTTTGGTGAAACCAACCATCTGAGTCAGGTTAGTAATGCTCCATCACATGTTAATCTATTACAGGGTGAATCTTAAACTGAAGCTTGACTTTAAAGCAACCCAACGGAAGTTTCATGTAAGTTTAGTTCTTTCACTCGTAGCTCGGGCTGCGGGGGTGCTAGAGACGGGAGCATGTTGATGCGACCTTCCTAGCCGGAGATATGGCCGCATTTTACAATAAACTTCCTTTGGGTCGCTTAAAAACAAATATCGCAAATCGAATCGCAATATTTGTCAGAAAAATCGCAATTAGATTTTTTCCCAAAATCGTGCAGCCCTAGTTGCAGAGAACAGATATTCAAATGCACCATGGCAAGGCACCCTATATGTATACACTGTAGTTTCAATCGTCCTTTCATAATGCAGTAGCTTAAAACCCTTTGAACTGTGAACGCTGACAGCAGACCAGGTAATCGCTCAGCCAGTTTAACACCCTGGCTCACTCTAACTGGTTGCTAATATAAAACTATGTGCTGCCACGGTGCTGCTGGGAGACTGATGACGTACGAAGTTAGACATTCTGGTGGATTGTTTTTTAAAATGTATAATCCAATGAATAAATGTACCGTGGCCTAGTTTTTGAATGAATACAGTGCTTGCAAAGACAGTGTCTTTTATAGCGATTTCACAGTGAATTTTAGAAAGCTGTCATTTCATGTGGAGACTGTCACCTGCATTGACCTGTAGAGTCTTATTAAGTGCCCCTTGTTCCCTCACAAAGGTTTTAATCACGCTACACGACCTTCACTACTGTCAATCAAGGACAGAGCTATGCAAGCAGAGCTCAGGCACGCCACTGAATGGGTGTTTTCTTTTTTACATGCTGTGAAGACAAAAAAGAGGTGCGTTGTGAAATCAGAGCAACATCTTGAAAACATCTGCACATGTAGTGTCACTCATGGCTTAGTTTTGTAAATGTGTCTTTCATATGTTTTACCCCTAATCTAGTGATATCTGTGATTGCTTTAGGCCAAACTATAACAATAATTTTTCTACAGTTTAGCAGATTACGCTTCCCTTTGCAACGAAGATGTAAAGATATGGTATTTACTTTCTCACCACTCAATAGCCTCACTTTGAGACTTCCGGTGTATAGAGAAGAGGGTTCCCACACACTTACTTTGAATAATGTGTTGGAAAATGATGACATTTTTACCTTTACAGATCAGGCAAATGTTTTGTTTTTTTATCAAACAACAAACCTACCTCTAAAATGTTATCATTTTTGATTGATCAAAATAATGATTTTGCAAGAAATCCCAAGCCACATTTACATTTGTAATATTACCATTATACTCCGTGAAACGTAATCATGTAATAATGTTAATGTTATATCATATGGTAATTTGTGTATGTGATCCAGCAGAGTTGATTAGTAAACAGCAATACGTGATATGCTTTGGATGAGGTTAGTGATACAAGGAAACTTTCAGAGGAATAAGAGTGTGAGTCAATCAGTAAACTGGTGAGATTAAAGTGGTCCTATCAGATGTCATATAAAAGGGGAAATCAAAGTTTAGTTGGCTTTGTGGCAAAGTTGAGCTTGGCTGGAGGTGAACAAATTAATTAACTGTAAACTGCTGATTGAGTAAATGATATGGCTCATTTTAAGAGTAGCTCTACCATCTTACATCATTGTCCTGGAGAAAGAGATGAGGGCAGAGGGCCTTACATTGGAGCGATAACAGCAGGGGCTTTACGCCCGTTTGCACACTGTGAAATATATGTGAACAAAACCGTTTTTTAACATTATTTACAGTTTGTGTGCAGATTGAAAACTGCTGTGGCTCAGTGACAGGGCTCATTAGTTAGGATACTTCGCCATTCATCATTTACTTGTATTGCAGTTTTGAATCCATTTTGACTTCTCATTGCTGTTTGCTTCTGTATTAACTTAAAGGAAGATATATGTAAAAAGTATATTGCCATTCTTTTTCCAAAGCAGGGATTCATATTATTGTTGAACCTCTTTTCTGTGGCGTTCTTTATTGGGTATATCTTAAGTCAGATCAGCAAAGGGAAACCTCAGATTTAGATTAAAACTCCCTTCGAAACAAAAGCATGCTTTCAGTACATAATTTCCACTGAATCAGGTCAATTAAGGCGAGAAAGGTGGCCTTAGGTGGTCATCTGGACTCATCCGTCTCTCTTGCTTTTCTGGTTTAAAATCCTGTACTTTCCATTACAGGCATTGCAACCTGAAAAGGGATGGCTGACAGTGAACTTCTGAAGTGTCAGATAACAGCAAATCAAAAGGTGTGTTTGATAGCACGCTTCTTTTGTCAAGACAGTTTCTCTTATGCATCAGTCTGAAAAAGACAAAAAGTGTGCAGGTGCTCTGGTAATGAAGAATCAAACCACCATGTCTCCTCCTTCAATCCTTAGCATTAGGCCAACTGTCCCAGCAGGCCTTGCAGGGTTTGAGGTGAGAGCCACAGCATCTCTATAAGATTGTACTGGACATATCCCATCCAGAAGCCGAACATCACGTCAGTCACATTGTGTCTGCCTAGCAACACCCGGCTCAGGCCCACTAGGGCGGCCCACAGCACGACGAGGAACCTCAGAGGGGCGGCCAGCACCAGGTGAGCCAGCAGGAAGCGCCCACACATGGCGGCGCGCGTGGCATGGCCTGAAGGGAAGGAGAATCGGTCCACGGAAAAGGTGGCAAACATGTCCATGCGGTTATGGGCTGGTCGACGCCGGCGCACCACTGCCTTAACGATGGTGACCAGCACCAGGTCCAACAATAGGCCTGCAGGGGGGGGGGGAGGGAAGAGTGTGTTATAGCAACTGAGGAAACAACAATGTAGTCGCAATAACACAAAAAGCATTGGCAAACAGATATTAGACACTTTAATTCAATATAAAGAGAGGATATACTGTAACCCCAATGACAGCTGGTATCTTTCTTTCCTTGTTGTTGTGATGCAGGTCTATTTATTTTTTAAAGCACAAAGGAAACACTAAATAATGTGGTTTCTTTCATTGGGATAATATATACAAATATTACAACCAGGTTATAAAGTATTTTGGCTGCTTTGGGTGGTGAAAAACAGCAGCTTATATTAAGAAAGGCAACCCTTCCCTTGGCATACAGAACCTATTTAAAGTGATTTTTATTAGCATTTGCTTTATATTCTCCAGGTCTGCAGTGCTGAACCATTAATGCAACAGTCAGGTGGAAATAAGCCAATTGCTGCTGGGAGTCCAATGAGAGGATCTCAGAAAATGAATATGCAAGAGTATCATTTATTATTGATAACTACTCAATGAGCAAATAACTGCAGTTGTAAGAAGCTGTGTTTTATAATTAGAGAGGGCAGCTGGCTCAGGGACTGAACTGCAGCATGTGGTTTCCTTTACAAGTCAACACTTAGATTTGAAAGTATTTTGGCCATGCCAGAGTCCTGAAGAGACCCCCTCTTTTCACACATTTAATGATCTCAAAGTGGGCCTTTCTTTAAACTGACACGATATAAATGCACAAGCATGCCAATTAATAGCTGTTAAAACGGCCTTCTGGTTCAGACTGGTCTATCTTAATGCAGTTACAACGAATCAAAGGCTTTTACTTACTAACATTATGCATTCAGGAGGTTGGCTGGTAAATGGTAAATGGACTGTACTTATATAGCGCTTTATCCAGTCTTTAAGACCCCTCAAAGCGCTTTACATACTACATGTCATTCACCCATTCATACAGAGCAGTGTACCTTACTCTAGGACCTAACATTCACACAC